GCAGCGACAGACCTGGGAGACAAATGCATAGAAATGCTACATGGCCAGCGGAAAAGAGTGGACACCAGCAGTGACAGACCTGGGAGACAAATGCATAGAAACGCTGCATGGCCAACGGAAAAGGGTGGACACCAGCAGTGGCACTAAGGGCGGACACGTCTTAAGAAAGAATTGAGACCCCTAACAGTAAACTGCTTGGGGAAAAAGCATAGAGAAAAAACAAATAAGACAAGTCCTCGCAATCCCTCTAGTTATACTCTAGAGCTCGAAAAAGACCACCTTTGACACTTCCAGTGAACCTTGGGTTGTCCCTCCACCCAGTGCCCTTTTCTATTCCCAGCGATCTTCTCGGAGATAGCTTTAAAACACCGTATGTATACATATATATATATATACAGTATATGTATTGGGTCTATCCTATTAATGTTGACACAGGATTAAGTAACCACCCCCTATTAATCAATCCCAGCTCGACCCCCCCAATACTAAACTAATTTAAAACCTAGATTTCCACCTTGGCATCACCCTAATATGGTTTTTCTCTACCAGAAACCTCCCCCTATTAATCAATCCCGGCTCCCAAAAAAATGGTTTTATAGTTATGTATTATATATCGATTTCTGTTTAACTTTCTTTTTGGCTAGTATCCAATATCCGTTGGTCCCTAAAAACCTCTCTAGCAAAACTCTTTCATTTTCCCTTTATTAAAACTCTATCAAAATCTTAACGTTTTCCAGCTCACAAAGGGTACCAATCTCACAGGCCTCAGTGTTCACACAGAATCATATCAACCATCATCCATCATCAGGTCATCGCCTTTATTAGGGGAATGTGGTCCTCAGATACCTCCAATCCTTGTTGACCATGAAGGGGGGGATCCCGTTTACTAATCCGGTGTCGAGATTACCAGTAACAGTGGATTGAGAGTAGATGACGCAATCCCCAAAAGGTGGGTATATGGACCTCCATCTATGTCAGACGTCTTGGGGGGAAACGCGCCATGCGGACGGGGAAACTGCCTGTACCACCCAAGAAAAAAAGACGCCAAAACCACCGACACCGGGGTCTCTCATGCCAGGCGCGATTTTCGCAGTGGGGGTTCTACAGGGCAAAACAGGCGAACACCTCTCGGCAGCCTAGTTTCACTGGCGCCATCATGGCGGTGACTTCTGTTGACGCCCAAAAAATTCATCCTGACGCCGCGCTTAAAAGTGTCTGGCGTTGCTGGCGACAAAGAACCTTCACTTTGAAGGTTTTCTCCAGGTCATCCATTTCCTGAATGAATTGAGTCACTCCGGCCTGGTAGAGCTTCCGGTCCACCTGTGTTAACCCTTCAATGTCCTTCTGGACGCTTTCGTTATAGTCATCCGCACGCTCGCTGTAGGAATGGTCGTGGTCGATATGAAGCGGCACGAAGGCATCCCAAGCCGAGGCATCTTCGCAGTTGCAATGACTGGGCAAAAAGTTCCTCCACTTTCGCATGACGTGGAGGAACTCGGGAGAGTATGACATGGCTTAGGAACAGGGACTTCGTGGGGAGAGTTTCGAGGGATGAGAGTTGCCCGGGCCACCTCTCGAGGGACCCAGAGAACAGGGGCCAAAAACGCGATGCCGCCCGCGGTTCCAGAGACAAACCAAACCAAACGAGCAAAGGAGCCTGGTTCCTTACTATTTTATATATATATATATACATTAGTTCAAAGTTGGGACTCCACATGGCCATGGGTTCTTAAAACAACATCAATATTTTGGGATTGATAAAGGACCTTACAAACTCCAGAATTACTGCAACCTCCAAGTTTGTGTATATATATAATATATTACCCCGCCCCCGGAACCGCGGTGTTCATAGATGTTATTGATATTTGCGGTGTGTTCTACGTTTTTGGAAAGACTTGATTTTTTGATGTTGGTCTGGGGGCGCCGTAAATGGATATATACATATATATATAAGAACATATACGCATACAGCACACACTGTGTTCTCGGAATCATGAAAGTATAAACTGTGCATAATTTAAGGTTCAAGAAAAATACAAGCATAGACCCCAAACAGCTTCAAAACGATTCGTTTAGACCAACATTAGTCAAAAATCGACTTCTTGGTACGCCCTACCTTCAACCCAAATGCAAACTGCTACATCAATGAAATTTGTCGGCATTGACATTCCTATTTCTTCGGCCGCACTCCTCTCCAGTAAGCCGGACCACAGAGACCAGCCACAGAGTTCAGGGGCGCGGCCAAGACAAGGACAAGAGGAGGACAAGACCCGGACACAGAGCCCAGCCACAGAGCAAGAGGAGGACAAGAGGAGGACAAGGCCTGGACACAGAGCCCAGCCAGAGAGCCCAGCCACAGAGGACAAGAGGATGACAAGGCCTGGACACAGAGCCCAGCCACAGAGTTCAGGGGCGCGGCCAGTGAGTGTGGCCAGCTCTTTTTTCTAAGATAGAACCCCGACAGTAAACTGTTTGGGGAAAAATGAATATCTTCTCATGTCTGTTGCGATTACCCTCGCACATCTTTTTGCTCAGCGTGGGGTTGACGAGAGCTCGATCCTCCCCTTAGGGATCGGCCAACAGTGAAACCACAGACGAACGCATCGAACAAGCATCGACATGCAGCATTGGGCGGCTGAGGGTGGGCAAGCTGCAATTTTAGTTACGAAAGCATGAGCATTGTTGAGGGCATTAACGTCTCTTTGGGAACATGTGATATCTCTATGGTTGGTTTAGCCACAAGTTGCTTCACAAGCTTGGACCTCGGCGAATGCATATCATTCGATCTACACATCCATGAGCTCACTATTCTTGCGAACCGTTTACTTCATGTCTGTTGCGATTGCCCTCGCACATCTTTTTGCTCAGCGTGGGGTTGACGAGAGCTCCATCCTGCCCCCGTCGAACTAAGCATCTCGGCAAAGATCTTATCACTATCAACCCACACCTGGACTGCTCCTATGTCGAGCAAAGGTTCGCACACTCCTCGGGAAGGATTGTCGGCGACGTTTGCTTCGGTCGGCGCGCGGGCGTGCCAGGGAATCAGAGACAGATGGAACTCTAAGTGGAGCGATGCATTAAGAGTATCTCTAGCAATTGCGTTAGTCGTAGAACAAGTCACCATGCAATCCTTCACTGCTTCGTTATCGGTGAAGAAAACTATATGGGATGACTTTAACTTATCGAACCATACACGCAAGGCTAAATACAATGCAAAGAACTCGCACTCAAATATGTTAGTCTTTTCCCCTTTGGGGTTCATCCGTTGCAGAACGCTCTGACTGAGCTCGAGAGCGAAGAACTCCTGGTACTTTCCGTTTGAATCAACAAGAACTGCACCAATTCCACTATAAGGATTACCGTCCTGCGGCTCGAATGATGCGTCCGTGAACACAAACCAGCAAGGAAAGCTGTGACCCGAAGTCACCTCGCGAGGAAGGCCGCAAGTCAGAAGGTCCCTCTGAAGACACAAAGCTTGCGCTGCTATCTCGGACAAGTTGTGGTCAACGGAGGAATACGCATGGCTGGTTACAACTGCTAGTGACTTCTTTGCCACTCGTCCAAACACCTGACCGGCTGCAAACTGCAACCGTCCTCGGAGTTTCAAGGCTGACATCCGATCGAGTTTGCGGTCTGCTACGATTTGATCGAGGGATGACACAATATCGGCCTTGCGGCTCGAGGTGTTGTCAAAGGAGACTGACCCCGTGCAAAACTCAAACAAAACTATGGATATACCAAGAGCTGAAAACTGGCGGGCGAAGTCACGAGCTTTATCTCCTTTGTCCGCGAACTTCCACCCTGTGAGACGGAAGAGAGATTCGACCACCGTCTGTACCGAGGAGTGCTCCTGTTCGGGACTGAGGACGATGAAGTCATCAAAATAGTTGCACGTCAGAATGTGGAACTCTGTTACAAGGATATGCCTCAAAGACTGTGAGCTACCCTAAGGAACGAATGCACTGATCGTACACTGCCGAACGGCAGAGCCTTCATGCGGAATGCCTCAAAAGCTCGGGCGTCAGGGTTTCGGACTATTATGTAGGCATAAATATGACTCGGGGTGAACTGCGCATTGGCGATATGCGCTTTTGAGATCAAACACTCTGCCTAGCCACTCACCAAAAGAATTTTTGCAGCCAAGGATCTTGCTGCACAGGCCGGCAACGACATCTAAGGTGTGAGGCTTCGGGCTTTCCGAGGTCTGAGCACAAGCGTTTACCCCTGACTTGGAGAAGTCGTCAACGCAACGGATTTTGGGGCCTTGAACGACACCGAATCGGCGATTAAGGGGGGTATCGCCAGGAATGGTGTTTAGTGGAATTGGGCCCTCAAGAATGCCGCTTTTCACTTCCTCCAGGGTTTGCAGCCAGATCGATCTTTCAACCTCTTCCGAGAGCCAGTCCGACGTGGAGTCCAAAAGAGATTGACGTTCGCTCTTGGCACATACAGCTAGCTCCTCTAGCGTCATGGTCGAGGCGAGAAACGGTGTGGCCAAAGTCCAGTCGGCTCTGCCTCACCCACCAGCATGGACCCGCTTGTGAACTCTTGAACCACACCCAAGTCTGGATACGAGGTTGATTCAAGCATCTCCTTCCAGAGGAGGATGTTCTTGCTTGCCAAGACCGGAGGCATGGCCGCCTTCAGTTCAAGCTCCTGTTCTCTAAGCTGTTTATACCGTTCAACCGTTCAACCCAAAATGCTAGCCTTGCTGCACGATTCTTTACTCTATCGGCAGAAGATGTTTTGGCGTGAACCTCAACCACGTCTTCTAGTTGCTTGGGAACGCATGCAGCAAGTCTGCAAGGGTGACCGACCGACACTGCTTTCTGGACAAATTGGTATTGATCCCATGGGATGCCCCAAGTCTGCGCGAACGTTTCTAGCTTCTCACTGGCTCGGTCGTGACAATCGGACTTCAGGGTCTGCTGCTCAAAGCTCTGAATGCAATCGAAAACACACACCCCTCCCCCGGTGGAATAGGAGATTGCATCGAGCAAGGCTGGGTGGATATATTTGAGCGAACATGAATTGGGGCCGAAATGCGAACGAAGGCCTGGACAGGCGGCAAACTGGACATGAGGCCGACTAACACAATTCGGTTAGAAAACATGGGGGGCGATCGGTGGGATGCGCGAACTGCGAGGTTGAATTCCTGCGACGGCACGAATCTGCTGCATAGCCTCTCTGGAGTCAGGTGTGATGAGATGAAGTGTGTCAGGCAACGGCCGGACACCAGCGTTAACACAGGCCAGGGCATAAGCATTGGCAATGCTCCTGGCCAATGGCATGGGATACGCTGTTTCGGTTGCTGTTGCAAACTTTTGCGCAGTATGATCGAAACCCCACCTTCGGTGGCGATGAGATGCTGACACTCCTGGGCACGTTAATGACAAAGCCACAAATTCTTTTGAATTGAAAGCAAGCATAGTGCGTTTGAGTCTTAGACTTCCAAATTGGCAGGAGTGAAATACAGGGTAATTCATCAAGTGGGCAACGGATGTCCAAAAGGTTGCTGACCAGAACAAACTGTATTGAGGGTTCTCAACACAAACCACGCAACCAACTTGATGTGCCCATTTGACAAGTTCTGCAGTTAAGTGATACAATCTGTTAGCGATCAAAACTCGTGCGAGTTCGTTTGGACTGAGGTCTGGGATACTTGTCATCGGTACGACGAGGCCGTGGGCCCGAGTCCTGCGCCTGCGCACCTCTTTTCCTCTTAAGAGGGATCTGACGAGCGCGGGACGCCGAACCCCAAGGCGGAGCCAAAAAGATCCCTACTATGTTTGGATTACGAAGCCATTGCCAAAGAAGTCGTACTCCGTTCGGAGTGGCTAGATCGGCGACGACAACCTGCGAAGACGCATTCTTTGCTCTAATGTTGTCAACTCCAAATGCGCTCTTCATACCAAGTTGTTTTCAACAACAAGTGACGCGCGCAGTGCCTGCGAATATCTCAATCACTAGGCACGTCGACAAATCCACGCCAGAGTTTGCCAATTCTCTGACGCGGGCTAGCGGTCACGAAGTCTTGGGTCGGTCGTGATCAGCTTCTGGGCGGGGCGCTTGGCCTCCGCGCCTCACGCACAAATGCCAACCCGACTGACATTGCGCTCCATCAGCCGCACCGGAACATTTCTTCAAGTTGTAGTCGAAGCATAGCCTGCGTCCATGTGGATCTGATGAAACGTTATCCCTGCCCTGCAGCTGCTTCGGGATGAAACTGTTCTTTCCTTTGCCCTTACCCTGCTTACCTTTGCCCTTTCCCTTGCCTTTTCCATATGGATGCCACTGCCACTTGTCGTATGTCTCCTTTCCATACTGTTTGAATGTCTGCTGAGAACCGGCTGCGGAGGATGATGATTCGTCTCGCAATGAGACCTTGGGCAAAGGCAACAAGTAAAAACCTACTTCATAGCTTTGCAACGCTGTCAGGATTGCTTGATCCATCGGCAGGGTGTTTGC